TCATCCTGGACTGTCTCCCACTATGATTATTGTGCAGTCCATACATGGGCTACATCTTATTGGATAATCTACTGCTTTTCTCTCGTTTTTAATTTAAAATATAGTTTCAAAAAAAACCCCAAAAACTTAAATTTCGATTTCCTAAGGCCATTTCATTTTCCCATTGTGACTCCTTGAAATCTTTTGTTTTGTCCTGTTAAGAGTGTGAAACCCAGAATATTGAGGTTTCTGTCACAGGAAAAAAAAAAAAAGCAAATCCTCTCGCTACAACTAAAGAATGTTAGTTATTTTTGATTGCAAAATTACTTCATTAACTAGTCAGGGATAAAAATACTGACAAGACAAGCTTGTATTGTCCTCAAGTGAAATTTCCCTTGAACACAGTTCTGCTATAGTGCAATAACAAATAAAAAAAAAATGCTTTTTTTTCTGCCCATTGACTAATGGAATAATTATATAATTGTGTATTAGATTTTTTGTAAATTTACAGTTGAAACCAGACATTTACATACACTGTATAAAAAGACACAGAACCTTTTTTTTCTCACTGTCTGACTATAAATGTGACTAAATTTTCCCTGTTTTTGGTCTGTTAGGATTACCAAAATTATTTCTATTTGCTAAACACCAGAATAATGGGAGAGAGAAGTTTACATACAGTTCCTTAGTATTTGGTAGCATTGCCTTTAAACTGTATGACTTGGGTCAAATGTTTTGGGTTTCCTTCCACAAGCTTCTGACAGTAGTTTGATGGAACTTTGGCCCATTCCTCCTGACAGAACTGGTGTAACTGAGTCAGGTTTGTTGACTGCCTTGTTCCACGTGTCTTTTCAGCTCTGCACACAAATTTTCAACAGAAAACAGATCAGGGCTTTGTGATGGCCACTACAAAACATTAACTTTGTTGTCCTTAAGCCTTTTTGTAACTAATTTGGTGGTATTCTTAGGGTCATTGTCTATTTGTAAGACCCATTTGTGCTCAAGCTGTAACTTCCTGACTGATGTCTTGAGATGTTGCTTCAATATTTCACATAATGTTCTTTCCTCATGATACCATCTATTTTGTGAAGTGCAACAGTCCCTCACAAATTTCCCCTATGGGGATCAGTAAAGCATTATCCATCTATCAAAGCACACCCACAACATGATGCTGCCACCACCGTACTTCACAGTTGGGATGGTGCTCTTAGGCTTGCAAGCCTCCCCCTCTCATTTCACTGTGGATAATGACACTCTCTTCCCAGCTTCAGCAGCATCTTCACAAGGGCTTTTGCTTTTGTTTTTGTTTTGATACGCACATTTCGCACCAAAACACGTTCATCTCTGGGACACAGAACCCGTCTCCTTCCTGAGCGATATGATGGCTGGACATTTCCATGGTGTTTATACTTGTGTATAATTTTTTGAACAGATAAACGTGGAACCTTCAGGCATCTGGAAATTGTACCCAAGGATGGACTGGACTTGTGGAGGTCCACAATTTTCTTCCTGATGTCTTGGCTGATTTCTTTTGATTTTTCCATTTTGTCACAAAAGGAAGCAGTGTGTTTGAGGTGTGCCTTAAAATACACAATATTTACAGTTATGACTCAAATTTTGTCAATTAATCTAACAAAAGCTTCCAAAGCCATGACATCATCATCTGGGCTTTCTCAAATATTTTGAAGGCATAGTCATCCTACTGTATGTAAACTTCTGACTTTGAAGAAAGTAGTAAAAAAATTCTCTTAAAAATTCTCTTAAAAATTCTCTCTGTCAATATTCTGGCATTTAGCAAATAGAAATAATTTTGGTACTCCTCACTGACCTACAACAGGAAGAGTTTTGTTTGATTTAATGTCAGACAGTGGGAAAAAAAAAAGGTTTTATGTCTCTTAATACAGTGTATGTAAACGTCTGGTTTCAACTGTATATCTTCTGTAAAACCTCTATGTGTAGAACAACTCCTAAACCAGATTCAATCTAGATGTACTGTAAATGGATAGCTGAAAGTAGGGCTGAATTATTAATCAACTTCAAATGAATTTGAAACAATGCATACCAAATTGTGAACACAGCAATTTAGGGCATACAGGGTGTATCAAGTAATGAGAGTAATGCTGTAAATAAAATGTACTTTTTTTTTTAAAGGAGATTTAAACTTTCAGGAGTTGTTTATGCTTGTCCTCTGAACAATGTATACCAGGTGGTTCAGGCTGCGGTTCAACTGCATTCAGTTTTGTTATTTAAAAGCCACACCTTGTCAGTTTTGTCTGATCAAGGTTTAAAATGTCTTGCTACTGCTTTTACAAATTCATGTTGTTCTCATTGTGTGACAGTCACGCTTTTGATGGTTTCATGTGGTAATGCTCACATATTTTACATCTGTAAAGATGAAGCTTGACTCAAACCAAAATATCGGTCAGGATAATCACAAGAAGATATTTTTCACAAATTGTCCAGCCCTGTCTGAAAGCAACATGTCGACTATACCAATTTTCACTGGAACTGATTAGTTTTTCTACAAACAAAAACTTGCCGTAGTCACACTGTGTATTAAATACAGGCGCAAAGTTTCAGCCACCATTGTTTGGTTAAAGCAATTCATCTAACGGTGATGGATGTCCCCTGTGGAGATCTATTCTGGAGTTCATGGGCCTGTGCATGAGTCACAGATGTGTAGTATCAGCAGGTGGGAGGGGGCATAATGAGCACAGAGACACCATTAGAGAAAGAGTTTAAAAAACTTGGCTCGGTCTTCTTTGGAGGGCCTCAGGCAGCACTGCTGTCCCCTCTGTCCAGGCTACGAACAACTTTCTAGGAATACATTACCATAATTAGTTGGTGTTAGGCTATTTATTTTTTAATTCAAAAGAAGTTTCACAGGAGAAATATGAATGTGCAAGTGAATCCCCATCACTGTATTTTATATGACTCACCTTTGTTCCAAAACCAGTTGTGGTATTTTTCTATCAGGAGCCTTTGTTTTATGAGTGACAAAGTCAACTTCAGTAAGACCTTGTTTAGCATGTCAGCACCAGGTGCAGATTATTTTGAGCTGGTCATGATATTTCAGCACATTTGCGCAGACATGGCCTACTCACTGAGCTTACTGCTTTAAATAGGTTTGTGCTCCCATGTGGTTTATGTCAAACTTCATGACTTAAACATTTGGCTTCTGAGCAGGATCTCCCTCTGGACTAAAGATGGTGATGAAGAGTGAAGTGAGGCTGAATATAGTGAAAGTTAAGGTGTCAAGACGTATGAGAGACTTCAGTTTGTCTGATTGTGCTAGTTGGTCTGAGTTGAACATTGAAACGTTTGTCTTTTTGTTTTAGATTTAACACAGCAGTTTCATGTGTGACGTTACAGTCCTTTTGGACATTTTTATTCAATAATGTATATTTTAGGGTGAGAGTGCATGGATTAGGTAAATGTTGGGTGTTTGTTTTTAAGATAAAGGGGCACTGAAAGGATACAGTCACCCAATTTTGGCCCTGAGACCACTCCCCCTACTCTCCCAGTAGACCGGCAGCGTGTTATCACTCCTTGTTGCTCACACTATCTTTGTCTGTACTGCTGTCTGCTTCACACACATGTAATAGGATATTACAGATACACCAGTGGGAAAAAATGTAAGTACAGATACTAGACTTTCTAAGAATTTAAAAGCTGAATCTTTGTATTGCCGGGTTTCTGTGACGCCAGCCATTTTGTTTGTGCAACTATAAGATTGTATTTAAAAGGTTTTGTTGTTAGATTATTTGGTTGTGACACAAAAAAGTATATAGTATCTTCTATTCCAGGCCTGATTTAATTTCCCAGATGTTCTGTGTCTATACTTGTCTATATATACTGTGTGTGTAACATATTTAAATTTATAATAAATATTCACTTTGTTGAACCTTTTTTAAATCAGTGGAGTTTTTAAAGAAGTAGAGTCATTTAGATGACACCAAATGGTTAACTCTTTCAAGGCATTAGAATTACATTTTCAATTATGTAAATACATATTCACACTGAGCTTGTTTTTGGAAATGGGCCCCAGGAAGGATGGAAAATAAAAGTTTTTATCCATGAACAGATTCCAAATCAAGATTATACCATGGAAGTGGCATCAGTCAGCTTTGATGTCTTCTATTTTTGGATATTTGGACAGTTTTCCATCCTGCTTTTCTGGCACAATGAGCTTAAATGTGCAGTGATTGTTTTGAGACGGACTGTAACATGTCCAAGCCTCTGGAGTGTAACAGTATGCAGCCGGTGATTGGGGTCTATTCTGGACAAGCTGAGGAGGGATGGATTGTGTGATGTAAGAGTCTATTTTGTTCCTGCGTTCCACCGAACACTCAGCAGGCCAACACTGTACCCCCTCAACCCTGGACGGGATTCAAAAACACTTTCTGTCTGTCTGCTTCTTTGTTTTATCAGTCTGCCTTGTTAGGTTGACATCAACATCAATTGAATGAAAAGATCAAGCACGTAGACAAGTAGCTCTCATTGACTGCAGGGTTGTATTTTTAGTGTGGACAGTGGAAAAAGTATGTTGGGGATTTCAGGGGGATATTTTATAAAGACCTGATGAATTTAGCTATGAAGGTGGGCTCAGGGATGTACTGTGCTGCGGTGGTCACATGCTCTGATGTTACTCTTGCATGATCTGCACCAAGGAGAAAGCTTTTTGTTTGCTGACAGTTTGGAATGAGAGACTCAGACTCACTGCCGTTGTCTGTTTACAGCCTGACACCACAGTAGGTAGGCACCACAGTAGGTAGGCACCTCACAGCAACAATCCTGTCTAAGACTTCATTGGTTTCCAGCACAACCACCTCTGAGGACTGAAACATCTTTCAGAGACCATTCAGGAAGTTGGCTATGTTATATTTGTTTCAATGAAACAAGGAAATAAGAGTGTTTTGATTGTGATTTTTGTTTAAATGCACGTATTTATATGATATTTATTTTTTGTATTTTTGTAGTTATAAGTGCACATTGCAACAACAATATATCATATCTTTCAGACGCGTTGCTGGCGGACCTGGAATCTACTACATCTCACATCTCAAAACGACCTGTGTTCTTGCCTGAGGAGACCACTTACTCCATCCCCACGGGAGGACACTCCTACCAAGATGTGTCAGTTCCCCCTCCAGTTCCTCCTCCACCCTCAGCCGAGGCTCTGAACGGGTCTCTGATAGATCAGCCAGACTCCCACCACTCCTCACAGCAGGTCAGTCTCTTGTCATATCCTGTATGTCTGTGTGCATGTAATACTTTTTCTTTTGTAACTGGTCACAGCCTCAGACATCAAAGAAGAATTCTGATTAATTTCAAAATATGATGTATGCTCTGCAGTCATTAGGTTCAGCCCAGAAGAGCTCATGGTCCAGGGACGATAGCAGTTCTCCATTGTCTCACATTGAAGAGGACCACGTCTACAGGTATCCTCCACACATTTTAAATGTTGTTTGTGTAAAGCTGACCTCCTCCTCTGGCACTCTTTGTACCTGTAGCTGCTATAGACAGTTGTTTCTTCCTGTCTCCTCTTTAGTTTTCCAAACAAACAGAAGACATCAGACTCGTCAACGGCAGCCATGACATCTGCCCTGGGCAGTAACCTCTCAGAGCTCGACAGACTTCTGCTGGAACTTAATGCAGTACAGCAGAGCTCCCCTTCATTCCCCACTACAGGTAAACACCCAGCCTTCATCTGTATCAGCTGTGTTTGTGTTGAGCCATATAAGTTAAACTATTATGTGTCCACAGAGGAGGCAGCTCCACCCTTACCATCCTGCAGCATCACCCACTATGAGAACGGCAGCGCCCCTGACATCCTAGTAAGCCCTCCCCCTCAGGAGAAACCTAAGAGGAATGGAACAAGGTTGGAGGAGGCTCGACCCACTGTAGAGAGTCTGCTGGACGAGTTGGAGGGTTCGGTGCCATCACCCAGGTAAACAGGGTCTCCTCATTGTTACTGGTGTCTAACTAAGCATTTATTTATTAATGACGGGTTCCATGGTCCATAATTTCCTATCCAATCAAAAATATGTGTTTGTCATTGTCTTCTGTGTTTGACTTTCAATGTGCCGGACCATATATGTTCAGAGTTTGACACCGGAAGACAGATTCTTCAGTTTAAAGTGGAGAGTGTTTCTGAACTTGGCTAAAATCTGAATTTAACCCTCTGAACCCCAAAGCTGCCAGTGGGTTTAAAATGTGTTCTCTTTACAAAATTGCCAAAAGTACTCCATTTATCAGAGCCTGAAACTGTAAAAACAGAAAGAATCGGTTGAAGTTTAGGCTGTGAAAAGGCCCAGAAACTGCCTATGTTTACGAGGGTTAAGGTGTGCACCCATGAGCAGGATTTCTGACGTCCCATCTAACCTGGTAGGCAGTCCTCAGCCAATAGCCTGCTCACATCAGTGTGATGTGGAAGCCAGTATATACACTTGCTAAAGGACAGATGTTTGACTGTTCATTAATTTAACATTTTTCAGTGGATGGGGAAGCATAAATGTCATTTTAAGAATTCCTAACCAGGCAATTGAGCTTTTGCATGGAACAACTATATCTGCCACAAGTTATAATTCAAATGGGTTCCGATTTGGGGATCAGGGCACATTCACTGTGATGGACTCACTTAGCCACACAAAATTGGAAGAAGAGGTGTGAAAAATAAGAAACACGGCTTGAGAGAAGAGTTTTAACCAAACTCCCTTTCTCACCACTTGTCATGTAGCAGATCTGGCCAGTCAAGGGAGAAAGGGGTGTGAACGTCAGCCTGCTTACAGTAATATGCATCGATTAAGTGTAGCAAATCATGACCCTATGTGTCCTTACAGAAATGGTTGAGGTGCACCGTCTGTTTTAAAAAGAGACCATGAATATTGGATCAGTGCTCTGTTTAAACAGATACCCTAAGTTGACGGTTATGAATCTCTGTTTTAGAATAAGGTTGAACAGTGCTTCCCATCTTTGGAGCAGCAAAACTATGGGCTTACAGTGGCTGTTCAATGATGTTGGGCTATTGCTTGCATCTTTTAGGTTGTTCTGAAAGGCAGAAGAAAACAGCAAAGAACAGCTTGGTGGTAGCAGTTTTAACTTCTTATCAGACATACTCTCAATTCTACCCATGCAGTAAAAAAGGCCATTTAAATAGGTTTACAGCCGCAATAAATGGTAGCTTGCTTGTTTTATGCAAGCATGCTGACAGCTGCTGTCTCTGTAGAGCATCTGTTTGTACATTTTAATAGATGTGAGGTAATACAACACCTGTTGCTTCTTTAAAATCAGCTTGTTGTGTTAGAGTCGAGAAGCCAGAAAAAGGTTTTTGTGAGAACTTGCACAGTAGTTGTTTTGAGATTCACCCTTGATAATGTTTCAGTGTTAGCATGTAATTAAAAATCACATTATAATATGTCTTTTCCAGCCCTTCCAGTCGCCACAGTGATTTGGATACGTCATCTCAACAACAAGCTAGAATGTCAGCTTCCTGTGCCACAAGAGAGCTTGATGAGCTAATGGCCTCTTTGTCTGACTTCAAGGTACAAAGTAGCATAAGTGAACACTGGAAAAGCTGCACTTAATCAACTGAACTGCTTCTCCTGTCATATTCCTGATTATTTCTGTCCTCTTCCTCTTATCTCACTGATGCTTCTCTGTTCTCTAGCCCAGTTCTTTGGGCTCTCTGCTAGACCCAGCAGGAGCACCCTTCATCTCTCACCATCCTCCAGTCTCTTCCTCCGTTACCCCAGTGGCTTCTCCTTCCCTTACTCTGTCCCACCCGTCTGCCTGTGCCTCTCCTCTCTTCTCTTTACCTGCTGGTTTAGAGCTGCACATAGACGAGGATGGAGGTGATGGCGGCATGTTGATGCCCCATCGGAGCCGTCTGCCTCCCCACAGTCCTACATCCTCACTTTCTGCAGCCAGTGACCTAGAAATAGACTCTGTCATAGACGTCTCTGCCGCCATGCTGTCATCCCAAACCAGGTCTCTGCTAGTCCTCACTCAGTCCGCTTGCTCTAACTCCAACCTGATGAGAAATAGCTCAAGTCCCTCCAATACCACCACCCCCTCACTGACCTCAGTAAACACTGTCCTAGACAACAAGTTCTCCAAGTCCCCGAGTCCATCTATGGAACGGGTCTCACCCTCAGCTGCTGTTGGTAAACTGTCTTGTGCTCCTGAGACTGTGAGCAAGGGGTCTGCTTGTTTTCATGACTTTGATTTTAATTTCTCCACTTCACCTTCTTCAAAAAATCTTACCCCTCCCCTCTCAGCTCCTTCGCCCATCCCTGTCCCTGTCTCTATATCTCCACCTTCTGCACATGCCTCCTCAAAAACATCCTCGCCATCTACAGCCTCTCCATTGATGGTCCCCTCTCCACTGGCCTTCACTAGCACCAGCAGACAACAGTTAGAGGCAGCGCCTGCTATCCAGAGAGCCAGTCCCCTTTCTGTACAGCAACCCCCTGTAGTGGAGCCTTCCCTGGATGAGGCACTAGACAAGCTGCTAGCAATGGGTTTTGCACAAAATCACATGGAGGAACCACAGCTGAACATGGAGGCACAGTGTCTAGGCAGTGGAATGCAGGCGGTGCACGAGGAGCTCATCCTGCCCATGGACAGAAGTAGCATGCAGCCAGACACTTTCACCAGCGCCACCAACACCATCACAGACGACTCCGTGGACGGAGGCACCGATGGGAATGGAGATTTGGACTGGGCTGACGAGGAGCTGTCCATGTCCCTGCACGATGGACTGGATGGCACCATGACGCCTTACACTGAGAGGCTGTACACAGATGGCAGCATGACCCCGCTGACAGAGGCCAGCTGGATGGATGAGTCCATGACCCCGTCCTCATGCCCCGGGACCCCTGACGTTGCCCTGGACCTGCCCCTGCTTCAGTCTCCCAATATAGACAGAGTCTCTGCATCTGGACACGTATGCATCCGCTGTTGCCCAACACAAGACAAGCTTGTTTTGCCACAGTTTTACCTTTGGTTTGCCTCTGTTTATGGACCTGATGCTTCTATACATGCTAGCCTCTGCTTCAAGGGTTTTTCTCATGGGTTTTTTTGAAAAGCTGAAACATAATGCTAAATGTTTATCTAATATTTGGATCTTTAGTATAATTTTCTAACAAATAAGACAATGATTGTTTTGTTAGCATTCAGTATTGTCTCTAAAGTCTTGGTTGGATCTGTCAAATAGAACTGAAACAGTCAATTGAGTGAAAAAAAACTCAACAATCAAGCAAAATGGAAAACAACTTTTTTCACATCTACTAAAATGAAAATTACCTGCTTTTCTTTGTCTACTACTTTGAGTTGAAAATCTTTTGCTTTTATACCACTGCTCACATAAAACACTGCAGACTTTAAGAACTTGTGCTGTATTAGCATTTTATATTAGCATTTTAACCAGTCATAGTCTACGTGATTCATGGACTGATTAAAAAAAAAAAAATCCAAAATCTGGGCATCTACAAACTGTTGTCCTGTTAAATCTTGTGAGGGAAGGCTCAGTGCTCCAATTTTTCTGTCTAGTGCAGTATTACATATGTATTCAGAAACCTGAAAGAAAAATTGTGTTTGAGCTTTGCAAAATGAAGATGACAAAATACTTGTAGCGTGAAAACACATGGTCAGTAGAGGCTGGAAAAATAGAAGCTAATTAATCAAGAGTTTTTGCTGTGAGGCTGCACTAAACTACTACCACTAACTGGCTGTTTGGTGGCAGCAGTGCTCAGCATGGCACCACTAGTTGTGTAAAGGACTCTAATGTGACCTGTATTGTGAATCTGGTTACCTGAGAAGACTGAGGCTAGGTTGTTGTGGCTTCTGACATAAGCATGCAAGTACATGACATGTTATTCTAAGCCCACTGACCACGACTGCACCCTGGCTTGTCAATGATTTAAAGTCACGGCTTGTGTGACTCGCCTGCTGCCTCAGAGCTCTGCTTTTACTGCATGAGCTGGTTTATGATTACTGTGGACACATGATAAGGTGGTCACCATTCCCCCTTAGATCAAATCAGTGATCAGACGCACAAAGGAGACTCCCAATGTGCACCCCATGTACCGAGACGGTCATCTCCGCAGGAAGATGGGACCCATTATTGTAAACAAGAGCAACTCTCAGGACCGTCTCATTGAGGAGCTCCAGGGTAAGCTTGGGATCGGCCGCTCAGAGCGCCGGCGTAAACAGTCCGACGACTGGCTCACCGAGGGTGTCGTCATCACGTCCAAACCTCAGCGTTTCCGTCCTGAAGGGGCCGGCAGTGAGGCCGACAAGGTTGGCTTCAGTGTGCTTAACAGTTTTCCCCAAATTTTCTTTTTCCCGTTAATTCACCTTTTCTAGTTTTCTGCACATTTTCCTGTCTGTCTCCTCCCTTCTCTCTTGTTTTTCTCTCTTCTTCTCTTCAGATCATAATTCCCCCAGAGTCGCCTGTCCCTGTGAGGAAGGTGCTCCCATCTCCTTCTCCCCCCACCCCTCGTCGCCCCCCTGTGGTAGAAGAACCTAAGCGACCACTCCCTGTACAGCATCCCCCTGTCCCAATACCACCACCTCCTCCTCCACCTCCCTCTCCCCCTCCACAGCCCATCCACGTTCAGGAACCAGTTCCAGCTGCACCTCCGCAGATTATAAAAGCCTCACCTGCACCTGCCCCAATCCATGAACCTCCTGCCCCCAAACCTGAGCCTCCTTCTCCTGTCCCAACCCGCCTACCACCAGTTGAGCCAGTTCCACCAGTTCCACCCAAAGTCCTGGTGTCTGTAGGCTGCCAAACAGAATATGACCCAATCTTCCCTCCAATGCAGGCACGAATCCCCATCTTATCCCTTCTGTTGTTCACACGTCTAACAAGCACATCATAATTAATTTGAAGCTCAGCAACAGCAACCTCAAGCTAAAAATGTGCATTTCGGTGTGTGTCAGGCACACGGTGACATATAAATGTACTCATATTGAACCGTTTCAGATTATGGCCCAAGGGAAAGGTGGTGTTCCTGGTGGGGCCCCGACGCAGGTCAACAAGCTGGACAACATGCTTGGTAGCCTGCAGTCTGACCTCAACAAACTGGGGGTGCAGACGGTAGCTAAAGGAGTTTGCGGTGCCTGCTGTAAGCCTATTGTGGGACAGGTGAGGTGCTTATATATCTATTTGTAATATAAATACACGATAATTATGTTTTATATTTGCATACTAAATGCACAGTGAACTGTCCTGTGCGTTTAGGTGGTGACTGCCATGGGCCGCACATGGCACCCTGAACACTTTGTGTGCACACACTGTCAAGAGGAGATCGGCTCCAGGAACTTCTTTGAGCGTGAAGGGCAGCCCTACTGTGAGAAAGATTACCATAATCTTTTCTCTCCAAGATGCTACTACTGCAATGGGCCCATACTGGATGTGAGTCGCTGCTCTGTACATACGGTGTGTGGTCTCTGTTGTCGATCAGTCAGCCAGTAACACGTGTTGTCATATCGGTTCAGAAAGTTGTGACGGCGCTGGATAAGACATGGCATCCTGAACACTTCTTCTGCGCTCAGTGTGGATCCTTCTTTGGCCCAGAGGGTACTGTGTTTTTTGTTTTTTTGTTGTTTTTCTGAATTAGAACCATGACTGCTACTTGTATAGGGCATTAATAGTACAAATTATAAAACTATACATTCCCTAATTGATTCAAATCTATTGTCTGTCTCTGTTTTTTTCAATTAAGGTTTTCATGAAAAGGATGGAAAAGCCTTTTGCAGGAAAGATTACTTTGATATGTTTGCACCGAAATGTGGCGGCTGTGCCCGAGCCATTCTGGAAAATTACATCTCAGCACTGAACTGTCTTTGGCATCCTGAGTGTTTTGTTTGCAGGGTTTGTATTGTGCTTTTCTGTCCATCACTTCATAGTTGTTGTGCCTCATAAGGATGTTAGAGCATCTTCCTGTTTCTGTGTCTGCAGGAGTGCTTCACCCCGTTTGTGAATGGCAGTTTCTTTGAGCACGATGGCCAGCCCTACTGTGAAGTGCACTACCACGAGCGCCGCGGCTCGCTCTGCTCCGGCTGCCAGAAGCCCATCACAGGACGCTGCATCACAGCCATGTCCAAGAAGTTCCACCCAGAGCATTTTGTGTGCGCCTTCTGCCTGAAACAGCTCAACAAAGGCACCTTTAAAGAACAAAACGACAAACCGTACTGCCACGGCTGCTTCATCAAGCTGTTCAGTTAGGGAGAACATTTACCAGTACAACGTTTAGGTCAGGGCTTAGATCCGTGTATAAAGCATTTTTAGCACAGGTAGCGTGAGAATGGATTTTGTTTGTATCAAAGGAAGTTGTCTTCTCATGATCAGGTTGGATGTTTGTATGGGTCAGGTATGTGCATGTGATTGAAGCAGCAGACTGCCTTCTCCCAGACTAAATGTTTATCACATCTCGAAATTTGGTCAAATATTTTTATTTTTTTAGACTGGAGAACTTAATGTTGAAGCTTTTATGGATTTCGAGTTGGTCAGTTAATGTGACGCAGAAGTATTCAGTATTCAAACGACATTGAAAATGTTTTAGAACATGAAAACATGCCATTGGGATGTTTCTTCTAAATCATCCTGGTTACGCAGAATGTTTTCTTGGTCTCCTGAGATGTTTTGGACATTTTTCCAAAGGCAAAGAGCGGTGACTGTTTTATGTAGCCTTTTCAAATCTTTTTAGTTTTCCTCTTTTTAGAAGGTGGTGAATTCTTACTGACACTGAAATCCATGAAATACTCCGTGTGTTGGACTATGTTGCTCACTGGATGAGTGTAATTTTTAGTAACCAGTTAAAAAAAAACAAAGGAAAAATCAGAGGGAACAGCAGCAGGAAACAGGTGACCTGTTGTTGTTAGCATTACAGCATAAATATTTTTTTTCTGTTATTTTTTTTTTAGAGTAAAATACAAAGTTGGACAGCACTACACCCATGGATAACCCCGACTGAAAAAAAACAGGCTCACAAATACAGTCGTATGAAAAAGTTGTTTGGGAACCCCTGATCATTTTCAAGATTTTCCTTTATAAATCATTGGTTGTTCGGATCAGCAATTTCAGTTAAATATATCATATAGCAGACAAACACAGTGATATTTGAGAAGTGAAATGAAGTTTATAGGATTTACAGAAAGTGTGCAGTAATTACTTTTAAAAAAGTAGGCAGGTGCATAGATTTGGGCACCCCAAGAGTAAAATTACATCAATATTTAGTAGATCCTACTTTTGCAGAAACAACAGCCTCTAAACGTTTCCTATAGCTTCCAATGAGGGTCTGGATTCTGGTTGAAGGTATTTTTGACCATTCTTCTTTACAAAGCATCTCCAGTTCAGTCAGGTTTGATGGTTTCCGAGCATGGACAGCCCGCTTTAAATCACACCACAGATGTTCAATAATATTCAGGTCTGGGGACTGAGATGGCCATTCCAGAACGTTGTACTTGTTTAGGGTCATTGTCTTGTTGAAGTATCCAACCCCAGCGCAACTTCAACTTTGTCACTGATTCTTGAACATTGTTCGCAAGAATCTGCTGATACTGACTGGAATCCATGCGACCTTCAGCTTTAATAAGATTGCCAGTACCTGCACTGGCCACACAGCCCCACAACATGATGGAACCACCACCAAATTTTACTGTGGGTAGCAAGTGTTTGTCTTGGAATGCTGTGTTCTTCTTCCGCCATGCATACCGCCCCTTGTTATGTCCAAATAACTCAAATTTTAGTTTCATCAGTCCACAGCACCTTATTCCAAAATGAAGCTGGCTTGTCCAAATGTGCTTTAGCATACCTCAAGCGACTCTGTTTGTGACGTGCACATAAAAGGCTTCTGCCGCATTACTCTCCCATACAGCATCTCCTTGTGCAAAGTGCGCTGAATAGTTGAACCATCTGCAGCAAGATCATGTTGTAGGTCTTTGGAGCTGGTCTGTGGGTTGAGTTTGACTGTTCTCACCATCCTTCACCTCTGCTTATCTGAGATTTTTCTTGGCCTGCCACTCCAGGCCTTAACTAGAACTGTGCCTGTGGTCTTCTATTTCCTCACTATGTTCCCCACAGTGGAAACTGACAGCTGAAATCTCTGAGCTAGCTTGTTGTATCCTTCCCCTAAACCATGATGTTGAACAATCTTTGTTTTCAGGTCATTTGACAGTTGTTTTGAGGCTCCCATGTTGCCAATCTTCAGAGAAGATGCAAAGAGGAGAACAACTTGCAACTGGCCACCTTAAATACTCTTTCTCATGATTGGCTGTGTATGTAGGTCAAGGGTCAATGAGCTTACCAAACAAATTTTGTGTTCCAATAATTAGTGCTAAAGGTGTTCAAATCAATAAAACAACAAGGGTTCCCAAATTTATGCACCTGCCTACTTGTTTTTAAAAGTAATTATTGCACACTTTATGTAAATCTATAAACTTCATTTGACTTCTCAAATATCACTGTGTTTGTCTGCTATGTGATATATTTAACTGAAATTGCTGATCCGAACAGCCAATGATTTATAAAGGAAAATCTTGAAAATGATCAGGGGTGCCCAAACTTTTTCATACGACTGTATTTTGTTTGTGTGAAATGGATCTTTAGAGTGACTCAATTGCATATTGAGATTGTATGTATGGATACCGTATTGCAAAGATTCTTCTTGATAAATGAATCAGAACTGAATCTGTTTCACAGTTTTTGTAAGTCAGAATCTAAACACCTGTTGTTGTTATTTTAGCCAAAGACAAACCATACATGAATCAATATTTTACAGTGATTGTTGAGAAGAAATTTAAAATGCAGCCGTCCACCAGTTGCTTAAGTCTCACTCTCATCTACACACTTTGACGTTTCTGTTTCTGCCAAATCATTCCTTGTCTTTTTACTGAAAAAAAAGAGAAAACAATCTGAAAGCAGTTTCTTGTCTCATACAGTGAAGTGGAATCGCACAAAGACATTGGGAGTATAATTGTGTATCTCTTACACTACTTTCATTACTGTTTCTGAATACATCCTGAGATGTTTTTGTGTGTGTTTGTGTGTGTGTGTGTGTAAATATCCAATGCAGCTACGGTGTAAGGAAAGCGCTGGCATGCTTAGCGTGTACACGTGTTTGATAACCACTCGTTCACAGAAGGAAGGAGAGGGCTGCTGGGAAGGTATAGCAAAGATTACTGTATTGAGAAGCTGTTGAATGTGTATTATTTTGAAAGAGGTACATAATGCGGACAGTACACACGATTTGCCTGTGATATTCCAATAACTATGCAACTGTGGATTAACAACTTTGTTTTCAGCTTCTGCTTATATTTCTTATGTAACAGGCTGTCTGTGCCGTTGTATCAGTTCCATGTCTAATAACACTGGCAAATACAGCAAATTACTGAGAGCAGGTCCACAGTTATGTTTTCATGAATCTGTGAGTCCACTGATTAACGTAGGCTGTTAAAAGAGAGCCTGGTGGTCTGCTAGAATAAATCGTAGGACTAAGATGACTCATTTCCCTCAGCATCTGAGTAGTATCTACTGTAAGACCACCAGGTTGGGTCTGTACATGGTTCTTCATGATAAGCAGCAGATATGTTTGGCCTTTTGTCTTGTTCAGGGAATTCTAGAGCCTTAATTCTTTTCTCACTCTATTTAAGATATCATGTAACAGATCAGTTTAGTAGAGCGTTATTTAACCAAAGCCATACCTTCTTTGATTTGTTCTTGTGTCTGTTCACTACTTTTTTTTTCTCTTTTCACTTTGAATGTCAATAGATATGAATAGTGAGATTCCTCAATTCTAGTTCGATTATGCAAATAAATTCTGTTTTGGTATCAAAATGTTATCAAAGGTCTTTATTTTTTGGTATGTTTTGACTTGGTGCTAAGACAAGACACTATATGCATAAGTTCATGTTAAGATTTTAGGCTATCTTGCTTCCATATCTTCTTTTTTTAGACGAATGAAAAGAAAACATCAGTAGTACACATTTAGGTGTTTGATCTCACTTTGTGTCTTTGACGTTAATCTGACAGATTAATGCCAGATTTGCTTTTCTAGACAAAGAAGAGGAAAGTTTCATGGTGAAATTTTACCTGTAAAAAGCATCTTTTATAAGGAAAAGTGCATAAAAATGTACTATATATATATATATATATATATATATTCTGTACATTGTTCTTCATGACTCAATCTTTTTTTTCACCCCTTAAGAGCCATAAGTCCAAACTTATTTTGCCTTTACACATAGAATTTTATAGTTTAATTCAGTCAAATTTAATGATGTTTTTTTTTCTTGGCTGTTGACAGTGTTTTATTGTTTATTGAGTGATTAAAAAAAAAAAAAAAAAAAGTATGGAAAATCCCATCTGTAGAAACATTTGACTCTCCATAGTTCTGATTTTTTCTTAAAAATACATTCATATTTAGATAGATAATAACTCATTAGCAAATGTATTAATGCAAAACATTCATTGTAAAAGTTAATTGTCTAATTATAAGTCATCAGTCAGGTTTTCTGGTGATATGTATGAGGAAGGAACGTTATTTACCTGTAGTGTCTCTGCTTTAGGTAAAATCTTGGAACACAAGTGTTAGTCCAGCTGTAATTAACTTCTCCAG